CTGTCACTTGCATAAAGCATCCCTTGGCTGTAGCTTCTTTCTGTTTATGGTCAAAGCTGGTACAACGGAGTGGCTTTGAGCCACGAAGGCCCTGCTTCAGGTCCTTTTGCCAAGCCCCTGGTCTCTCAGTCTCCCCTAGGGTAATAATTCAGGGCTGTTGAAAGGATCTCCATGACATTCTAGACAGAGTACTTGGACTGCTTGGAGCATAGCCTGTTGGTCCAGAACAGGGTCCCTAGTCACCTGATGCAGCAGCCTTACTTGAAGACGTGCCGCTCTAGACTAGAGTGCCTGTGGACCCCCAAGGAAAGGCGGGATAGACGCACAACACCCCTTGCTAGTGGGCCAAGGTTTTTGCACCGGTCTTTGCCCCTACCAATTCCTCTGGCCCGATTCCCAGATCTCGGAGACCCGTACTGTTATCACCCAATTAGTTTGCTTTCCTCGTGGGGTAAATTGTAGTCTCTTTATTTTGTAATCTTTGAAACCGGGTTGCGTCTGAGGCCAGTTTAAGGGATGAGTTGAGCAGATTCAGGAGGGGCTGTTCAGCCTTAGTCCGTTGTCTGATTTTGTAGCATCTAGGTGATAAATACACAGCTGACACCCACGGACAGATGGGTGCTGTTGTTTAACACAACTGAGTGAGCCGCACATTTTAAAAGCTAGCAGCACTCACTGTGGTCCTCCTGCGTGACTTTTGCTTGTGTGCACAACACCCAGCATTCCCCTTGCATGTCCTGTCTATAAACACACACACACACACACACACACACACACACACCCTACGTGTTTTGCGTGCAGCTCCTGCTTTTGTGCCTCGCCTCTGCTGACGAGAACGTCTCCTCTGCCGTTTTCAGTGGAGGCTCCCATGACTTCATCAAAGACTATTCCGACTTGGCGGCCTTCCAGCAAGCGACAGCGGCATCCTCCGTGATGGTGGCTCGAGCGGCAATGTGGAACCCCTCCATCTTCCGGAAGGAAGGATCCCGGCCCCTGAACGACATCATACGGGAATACATCCAATACGTATGCTTTGAGATTCTCTCTCTCTTTAGTCTTTCACAGTTGCACTGGCCACAGTGGCCTGAAATCGGCTGAAGGTGTTACACTCACCCCTGAATCCAAATTTAATAGGAGCAGACTTGGGATAATTCTACAAATAAGACCTCTCTGCCTGGGTTGCTGCCGGGCAAGATGGATCAATTGACCGGCTTCTTGAGGTGGAGAGGAGGCTGTGACGCAGCGGTGGAGCATCTCCCTTGCATACAGACAGTCCCAGGTTCAATCTCTAGTGTTTCCTGTTAGGTACTGGGAGAGACATTTCTCTCCTTGAGACTCTGGAGAATTGCTGCCAAGTAATTACTACTGGGCAAGAGGGTCAGGTGGTCTGACTTGATATAAGGGAGCTTCATATCTTCATTTATTTAAAATCTCACTTAGAGGAATAAGAACATAAGGGAAGCCATGTTAGATCACGCCAATGGCCCATCCAGTCCAACACTCTGTGTGACACAGCGGCCAAAACCCAGGTGCCATCAGGAGGTCCACCAGTGGGGCCAGAACTCCAGAGGCCCTCTCACTGTTGTCTCCCAAGCACCAAGGGATACAGAGCATCACTGCCCCAGACATAGTGTTCCATCTAGACCTTGTGGCTAATAGCCACTGATGGACCTCTGCTCCATGTGTTTATCCAGTCCCCTCTAGAAGCTGTCTATGCTTGTAGCTGCCACCACTTCCTGCAGCAGTGAATTCCTTGTGTTAATTACTGTTTGAATAGAGTAGAATTCAATCTTTTTCTTTCTTTTTTTTCCCTTAAAAACCAAAGTGGGTTAATGTCAGGGGTGCTTATCTTGGGTTTAGAAATGAACATCTGAACAAGCCCTGTGTAAGTTGGCTTACATGCCTTTTACATATTAGGTTATGCACACACAGAGACAGAGCTAGTGCTCCCATTGTGTAAGTCAGTGGGACTTGCTACAGCTTGTGGGGAACTACATTCCCAATTTCCACCTACCAAAAGAACCACATGAGTACCATATGCCCTGCGCGCCATCCTGCCAAGCATACACATACAGTAGATATAACTATTAATGTATATATCACTGGAGCCTCTTAAATTATCAGAGTACCTCCAAGCATGTAGGGTTTTCTCTCCGCACCACTGAGAGCCAGCGTGGTGTAGCGGTTAAGAGCAACGGACTAATCTGGAGAACCAGGTCTGACTCGCCAGTCCTCCACCTGCAGCCAGCTGGGTGACCTTGGGCCAGTCACAGCTCTTTCAGAGCTCTCTCATCCCCCCCAAAACAAGTCTAGCTGGCCACCTAGTGGTGCATAATGCTAAAACAGCTAGAACTTTGGACTGCCAGGCAATCTTAGGATCTCCTAGCTATACTACACACAATGCCATACGATTATTATTATTATTCTGCACCCGTGCTGAACCTTAGCCAGCCCGCGTGTGTCGGGACTGAGGGGAAGGACTTCTCTCTCTGCCTTCTCACTTCCTCCTCAGCAATGAGGCACAACAGCTCAGGGGTGAGTGTGGAGTGAGATTGCCAGGGTGTCCGGAGGAGCACCAGTTGGCTATGGAGAAAGGGGAGTAAAACCACCACGACAGGAGCGGATTGGGATGTGAAAATGGCACTGGAGCAAGCCACACAGAAAGGCCCCTGTGGTGCTACCGGCCAGCATTGCAGGGGTTGCTCAGCTCAGCGGTGCAAACAGTGGGCATCGGCTCACCCATTTCTTCCTCCTAAAGCCTGGCAGCAGGAAAACACTATTGGGTCGACTGAGACCAGTTGCCATTGCTGATGAAGGGGGCCAAGCCAAGTGGCCCCTGAGGTGCTGGCTGGGGCTTGGCTCTGCTTCCTCCTGTGGCCGACTTGCTCTGTTCCACAGTGGCTGCCTTGGTGGTGGGTTTTACTCCCCATGAGGGCCAGCTTGCTTTCCTCCGGACAGCCACCTGGGGGCTGGGATGAGAGTCCAGAGGTGGCAGAGAAAGGGGAGAGGGGGTTGTTGAAAAGGAGGAACCCACATCCCGGTTATTCCAGTATTTCAAGGTGGGAATCACCTGTCAGCCACAAGCCCCACCAGGCAAGGGCCTTGCCCACTTCCCTGAAACATGGGGCAGGGGCCACATTGGGGAATGGTGCTCAGAGAGCCGCATGTGCTGTGTCCCCCCCAAAAAACCACTGTGAGTGAGTATCCCTGGTGTAAATGAACAAGATTGAGTGGTATGGGCAAATCCTCACAATACCTCAGTACTTTCTTCCTGAACTGGTTGTTTCTTGTCTGTTTCCCATCAGGCAGTGCGGTACGATAACCACTACACCAACACAAAGTATTGTTTGTGCCAAATGTTAAGGGAGCAGCTGGAAAATGCACAAGGAAAGAAGCTGCACGCGGCACAGTCCGTGCAGGAAATATGGTAGGGATTGTTCCATTCAAGGAAAATGTCTAGTTCTACCTGTGTAATATATCAGAGGAAGAAGGAGGATCCTTCTGGAAGTTCACGGGATCAAGGTGGCTTCTTTGAAATGCAGGGTTGTGTTTCTGATGAGAATGACCATTTCATCTTGTGTTCTCAAAGACTGTTGGCTGATTAAGAAACCTGCTGTTTACATCGAAGCGTAGTTTTAGATTATGTTTATCATATCGCTGAGCTTAAATTAAAGTGGCTTTTAAGGTTCCTGAAGGAAAGGGAACAGTTGCTGTGTTTGAAGTTCATACGCTGGCCTCTCCGTCTAGAAAAAGTTCCCCCAAGAGGGGTTAAATCAGAATGTCAAAAGCACTGTGATTAATTTCAGCACCGTTTTGCTCTTTTTTTTTGCCTCCTTGGATCCCCAATGACAAAATACTAGCCAGCTTTGAAGATAAATTTTTGACAGGAAGGGTTTGGTTTTTGTTTAAGATGAAGTCTGGTGCAGGAGAGAGAGCTGCTCTCTGTGCGGCCTGCCCAGTCGCAAAGCCTTCATGAGTCCCAGTGTCTTTGCTAGTTCAGTCTCGGCTGCTTTTTTTTTGGCTAGTAAGTTCCAACCTGCAGTCACAAATGAAAGGAGGCTGCAGTTTAGAGGTGTTTGTGAGCACATGCAGGCATTTCAGCCTCTGCATCAGGGCTTCCCAGCCTTTCTTTCCCCACCACAGCTCCTTAAACTAGAAACCATTTCTGGAGCTCTCCTGGGTTCTTTTTTTTTTTTGGGGGGGGGGGGGTTGGCTTCTCGTTTTTAAAGAACCCAGTTCACGTTTGCTATTAATGTTACAATTCTGATGGTAGTCGTTGTGACATCCTCTATTCTGCAGATCTCAAAATCTGACAGGCTGCACGGGTTTTTGAGAGGGGCAGAATTAGCTTGATTTTGGGAGGAGTGGTTTGTGGGTCAGGCTGGTGCGGCAGGCGTTCCTCACAGGAAACAGCCTAGACTCTGTTTTATCCCAATGAAGCCTGTCTGACTCTTTGTATGCAGCAAATGGGATGCAGCTGCCGTCTAGTGGTCAGCAGCGGCATAGCATCCCGTAGAGAGTTTGTCCTGGTCCTGTCTTGAGGCCAAAACAGCCTGTTGTTCCTCAGCTTCCTCAGAATGGGGAATTGCGGGGGAGGATTGAAGGGTGAGAGGGGAGTATGGGTTATCCCTTTCCCTCCCCTTTGCCTTTTCTCCTGCAATCCCCTCCTGTGTTCGGGGGGAGGACGAGGGAGAAATAGCCGGCAGGGGGATTGTTAAGTACCCCTTCCCCGTTCTTTTCCCACATAAACCTTCCCCTTGACCTCCCCTCTTTGCAGCTCTTTGGACACCTTGGTTCCCAGATCCTGGTCTGTGTAGGGGCTGCCAGAGAACATCTTGGGCCCACAAAAGTCTTTCATATGTTGTATTGTTGCAACAGCTTTTCTGTGCTTAGTCATGCCATGTTGCGGTAAGGGGAAGACTAGCTGGGCCCCAGCCAGTGGTCAGAGAGTGAGTGGCTGCAGAGAGACTCCTCCCCCCCCCAGCATAAAGCTCTCTGCTCCAACAGCCACTGCAAGGGGGAAGGGTGCTTTGTTGCTGGAGGAAAACCAAGGGCCTCTTTATTTACTTATTTCATTTACACCGTGCTTTTCTCCCCAGTTGGATACCCGGCACCAATGTTCCCTCTAAGCTGTGGAGTCTTGTGAGCAAAAAATTCTAATTTGTGAGCTACTGGCATTAAAATTGTGAGTGAATGATTTGGCTACTGCATAAATTAGATTGCTCTGGAGCCATCCTTCCTGAGCTAAGATAAAAATCTGTGAGCTGGAGGCTAAAAAACTGTGAGCTAGCTCACACTAACTCAGCTTAGAGGGAACACTGCCCGGCACAACTTATGTTGTTCTCTGTTTTTATCCTCACGACAACCCTATGAAGGAGGCAAGCCTGAGAGTCACCCTGCAAGCTTTTGTGGCAGAGCGGGGTTTGAACCTGGGGCCTTCTAGGTCCTAGCTCAACACTTCATCCAGTGTACCACACCAGTTCTTGGAGGTCACATCCCCTTCCTCCTAGGAAGAACCCCAACCAGGGACAACAAGGCCAGGTGGACCCTGGCCGCAAATGGCTGCGAGCAACTTGCCTGCTTGTCCTGGTGCTCTCCAGCCTCCAGCTCCCTCCCTCTAGAGGCCTTCTCCTCTTCTTCCCTTCCCCCACCTCGTGTGTCTTCTCTTTCAGCTGATAAGCCTGCTGGCTACTTTGCGCGCAGTGCTGCCTCCAAGGTGGTGTGTTGCATATTGATTGCTGAGAATCACTTTTGGGATAGACTTCATTTTCTGGAGAGTGGGATCGGTGGTTTGGTAGATGGATGGGCAGCATCTGTCTAGCAGGTGCTGTTGCTGAGTTTCCTTCTGTGATGTGGACCACTGTTGAGAAATGTAAAGAGTCATGTCACACACAAACACACACACACACACACACACACACACAGGCAGGCAGCAATGTTCCCTCTAAGCTGTGGAGTCATGTGAGCAAGAATTCTACCTTGTGAGCTACTGGCATTAAGGTTGTGAGCAAGCCATTTAGCTACTGCATAAATTACTTTGCTCTGGAGCCATCCTTCCTGAGCTGAGACAAAAATGTGTGAGCCAGAGGCTAAAAAACTGTGAGCTAGCTCACACTAACTCACCTTAGAGGGAACACTGACAGGCAGCCTTAGAAATTCTTGAAAACTGCCTTTAATATGACCTTGTATAATTTTCCTGTCTGTGATCAAGCCTTACCTGAATTTCTGGGTGGGGGGTGTTGTTGTTGTTTTTAATTAGTGAAATCTTTGAAATGAGCAGTTTTTACAAAGAAACGTCAGCTCTCCTAGAAGCCAGAAAGGTTTCATTAGAAACAAGGGACCAAGACGAAGATGACCAGATGGAAGACGCAGATGTCATAAAGATGGCAGTTAAATTTGACAAGTAAGATAAAAAAAGACCCCGTTTCCTGTGCTGCTTTTGAATTTGACAAAGGTCTGTGTTTTCAGAGGGATACTCTGATGTCAATGCAGCGGCCCAGAGGCCAAAGTGTACCGGGTCAAAGTTATCTCCCCTTTCATGAATGGTGGGGCTCCATAGTGAAGTTGATGCCATCTGGTGCACATACTCGGGTAGCAATATATGCCAATACCTGTTTTTCACATTATATATAAAGGGTTGAACCCAGTCAGCTTTCTCACTTAATCTCTCCTGATTCCTCTCCTCATTATAGCCCCTGTACCACCTGGATTTTGTCCACAGTCACCCACATAGCCTTTTGGGGTGGTCACAGAGGATCTCTAGCATCCTTTTTCACCAGTGGAAACCCGGTTGGATGCAGTCCCTTCTGTCATATTAAAAACTCCCAGAAAGAGAAATGTAACATCAGAGTGAAACTCATTTTCCCTGTATGATGCAGAGATGGTGGCTGTTATATAAATACGGTTTCCAGGGGTCTGCAAAAATTGGTCAGGGGGAGGTGGATGTCCTTGCAGTTGGCCATCAAAATATGTTTCTGTCTTGCTGAATCTGTCTCTTCTGTCTTGATTCACAAAAGGCCTCCATGCATGAAGCTGCCTTTTACTAAGTGGGGCCTTGGTCCATCTCACTCACTTTGGTCTACTTAGGCAGACAGCAGCTTTCTGGGGTCAGTAAGTCATGTAGGGGGATGAGGGGAGGAGCCCTGTCCACCCCTTCTGTTTCATCTTGGAGCACCTAATAGATTTCTGTTCCCCGTGTCGTCATACATCTAAGGCTGAACCAGGACCTTGGCATGCGGACTGTTACATCCGCACTCCGGGGTCAGGTGCAGACTAGGGATGTGTTTCTACAAATCCAGGGGAACCACCCCGGCTTGCGGGAAAATCCACAGACAAAGAAAGAAGAAAAATCACGCTTTTAGGAAAGAAAATGGTCTTGCAGTGCTAGTTCACAAGGTCTCCTTTTGGAGAAAGCAGGAGCAGTTGCCAGGCTCAGACTGCAGCTGGAGGCGGAAGAGTGGCAGCCAGCCCTTCCTCCCCCCCCCCCACTGGTGCAGAGGGTTGCGGGGAGACCTGGAGCTGCCAGGTTGAGGTGGTGGCACAGCAGGTGGGCCGGCTGGCAGGGGAATCAGTGGGCTGGGGAGTAAGGGGAGGAAGGTGGAATCTCTCTGTGAGTCTTGCAGGTCCCCTGCCTGTAAATATCTGAAAGGCTCACAACAAAACAATACATTTATACCACAGGTTATTCATGTGTTTGACTCCAGGTTCTCTCCCTGGGCTCCTTAGTTTAAAAGAATTCCAGGGAGAAACTCTTAGGAAGAACCTTCCTCTGCTTGAGTCCTTGAAGACTTGCTGCTAGTCAGAGTAGACAGTACTAAGATAGAGGGACAAAAATGGTCCGACTCATTATAAAGTAGAGAGAGAAGAGATTGGATTTATACCTCGCCCTTCACTCAGAGTCCCAGAGCAGCTTCAGTCTCCTTTCCCTTCCCCTCCCCACAACAGACACCCTGTGAGGTGGGTGGGGCTGAGAGAGCTGAGAGAGAACTGCTCTTGAGAGAACAGCTCTGAAAGAACTTGTGACTGACCCAAGGTCACACCAGCAGCTGCATTTGGAGGCGTGGGGAATCAAACCCGGTTCTCCCAGATTAGAGCCTGTGCTCCTAACCACTACACCAAACTGGCTCTCTTTATATTTTCTTAAGGGGTTCCTGGCAGTGCCATGGCTGACTTGTAGGGCACCCACTTGGCATGCCAAAGGGCTCAGGATGTTTCTCTTCCTGAGTCCTGGGAGTAGCCAGACTGAGCTAGAGGGGCCAGTGGCCTGACTTGGTGAAAGGCAGAATAAAGTTTGAGTCCAGGGGCACCTTTAAGACCAACAAAGCTTTACTCAACGGATAAGCTTTCGTGTGCATGCGCACTTCCTGAGATGCGAAAGGCAGTTTCGTTTGTTTGCTGCAGTACTTGTTTTGCCCTTAAGGAAGCCCGGTTCCTTCTCCTGCAATGCAGTTATTTGTTTTCCATTTCTTCTCAGGCGAGACTATCCCCCGCAGATCACACCCAAAATGTGTCTCTTAGAATGGTGCAGGAAAGAAAAACACCTTCAGCCTGTGTATGAAACGGTGAGTCTTTGCATTCTGCAGACAGGGACGTTAGCCGTGCCTGGCGGCCCAGGGAGATGAAGAATCACAGGTGAAATTGGGTTTCTTTCCCTTGAGGGGAAAATTGGAAATTTGAGGAAGTGCTGAAAAAACCCACCTGTGAAATATTTTCTTTTTCAGAATGAGTGATGGAACTTTTAGCATTCCTACCCACGGGGCATGATTTTCCCTGTTCTTTTAGGGGCACAGATCGGGGTGTGTGTGTGTGTTTGTTTTTATGAAATGCAACAGAGAGGGATGTGCCAGTGCAGAATCGGGGGAGATGGTCCAAGGGGGAAAGAAATTCATTTTACACAAAGATCCCAATGCGTTTTTGTGCACTGCTTCATCAGATACGAAATGTGTTGGGGTCTTCGAGTGGAATAAATTCCTTCTTCCACTGTGACATCATTTTCTCCTTCTCTTCCTTGCGTGTGCATTTAAAGCACATGCATGCATGTCCTTTGCATCATTCTTAAACAACGTAGAAAGCTGTTCCTGTTTGAGAAGAAGTTACTCGATTTTGGGCAGTTTCCCATTAGAAGTACTGATTGGTTTGCTGCAGCCCACCCAGTTCACCATTCAGAACCCAGGCTGGCGGGTCAGTGCTTATCCCTCACGGCTACAACTAGTCTGGGCAAAACAGAGGTGAGGCTGGCGGTACCGATCAGGACCAGGCCTCCAGTGAGGAAGGAAACTGGCATGTGACGTCATCTGCCTGGAAGGCAGCTCCCTGCTGCAATGGCTATTCCCGGAGCAGCTGTGCAACAGCTTCCTTCCTTGAACGTTAGGACTCCGAGAAGAGCATCCTGCAGGCCCGGATCCTCGGCTCTGTCCTGAAGGTCATCTTTGGGCCATGCCCAGAGGCTTGCGCCTGACCTCGGCAGGGGGTGGGGTGGGGTGGGGGGAGGATTTGTACTCTTTGCATGCCAGACTCAACTATGCCATGTCACAAATGGCTTTGGAAATGCTTTCTTGTTTTCAAAAGCTATCTATTATTCAAGGCTGCCGTTCAAGACAGCGGAGTCCACATCAGGACCTGGTTATGTGGTTTGCTGGGTCCTGGGGTTCGAATGGCGTCGATGGGCTTTTGCTTCCATCGTCAGAATAAAAATTCTCGGCTGTGGTGGGCATGGGTAGCTGTTTTTGCCCCTCAGTACCCTGGTTATACACGTGTTAGATAAATGAGGGGGGTGTATTGCACGAGAGGCAAGCTGTTGTTCCGACTTCCTGTTACAGTTCGCAGTTGTTTCAGCTGGAGGCTGAATGCACTGCTTTTCCATACTGGTGGCAGAGGGGGGCGGGGGCAGGCAAAGTGTGCATTGCCTTACAGCCAGGGCCAGCCCCGAATATCCTGCTCCCACACATGGTCTCAAAGGCACACCCTGTTGCACATTGCAGCCGATTCTGGGGAGCAGCTCTCAGGCCACTGGAGCGTATTTCAGTTTCACCAAAACAGCATCAAGTCACCCCTCCGCCTCTTGCCTCGTTTTAGATTGAAAGACCGCTGGATAGACTCTTCCGTTCCGTTGTCACCGTAGCCAATCAAAAGTACAGATCAACCTTCTGGTAAGCCATTTTCGTAGGCGGGGTGGTGGTTTGCATGTGGATGTTGGGGGAAATTACATTTATGTTTTCATTCAGTGTGGATACGATGTACACCATCAAAGAACAGAACGTTTGTTTTAAACCTTGTGAGCTCATGTGGTGGAGTGGTCAGCATGTCAAGGACCGGGATCTGGGAGACCTGGGCACTAACAAGAGCAGCATTCGTGGCCAGAGTTTCCAGGCACGGTTAAGAACATAAGAGAAGCCAATGTTGGATCAGGCCAATGGCCCATCCAGTCCAACACTCAGTCACACAGTGGCCAAAAATACCAGGTGCCATCAGGAGGTCCAGCAGAGGGGCCAGGACACTAGAAGCCCTCCCACTGTTGCCCCCCCTAACAGAAGCACCAAGAATACAGAGCATCCCTTGCCCCAGACCGAGAGTTCCTATCTGTACCTTGTGGCTCATAGCCACTGCTGGACCTCTGCTCCGTATGTTTAACCAGTTCCCTTTTGAAGCCGTCCATGCTTGTAGCTGCCTCCGCCTCCTGTGGCAGCGAATTCCATGTGTGAATCACTCTTTGGGTGAAGAAGGACTTCCTTTGATCCGTTCTAACCCGACCGCTCAGCAATTTCATGGAGTGCCCACGAGTTCTTGTGTTGTGAGAAAGGGAGAAAAGGACTTCTTTCTCTACCCGCTCTATCCCATACATCATCTTGTAAACCTTGATCAAGTCACCCCTCAGCCGTCGTTCACCTAGAGGGCGCCAGCCCTTAGGGGCACCAAACTGCACCCGCCCCCCGCCAAAAGCCCCTCCCCCGCCATTGCATTTCCACGGACGGGTGACTCCTGCTGCTGCCGCTGCCGCCCACTGCCTCTTTGACCAGCTAACTTCCCAGAAGGAGGAGGAGCAGCAGCAAGGCCGGGGGAGTGACGGCTTGTCAGTGCCCCGCCGGTCAGCCTCTTCTCTGGGCGTCCTGACAAGGGGCGCCAAACTCCAGAAGGGATCCTTGCCTAGGGTGCAAAATAAGCTGGGGCCGGCCCTGGTCATTTCTCCAAGCTAAAGAGCCCCAAGCGCTTTAACCTTTCTTCATAGAGAAAGTGTTCCATCCCTTTTTATCATTCTAGTTGCCCTTTTCTGCAAAGTTCTGGCCCAGATTGTACAGGTCACGTGAAGGACCTCCCCTAGATACCTGCTTGTCTATTGAGATTCTCCACGGAGGCCCTTCTCCTGGTGCTTCTGTCATCTGAGATGAGGAGCTGGCGAAAATCTTGAGCACCTTCTCAGTGTCGATCCCACTGTTGCTCCTCCGAGGTGTTCTTGGTGCCTTCTCTGGACGTGTTCAGGTGACAGGTGAATAATTTTTCTTTTGGTGTAGTGGTTAAGTGTGCGGACTCTAATCTGGGAGAACCGGGTTTGATTCCCCACTCCTCCGCTTGCACCTGCTGATGTGACCTTGGGTCAGTCACAAGCTCTGGCACAGCTGTCCTTGAAAAAGAGCAGTTTGTGTCAGAGCTCTCTCAGCCCCTCCCACCTCACAGGGTGTCTGTTGTGGGGTGGGGGAGGGAAAGGAGATTGTAAGCCGCTCTGAGACTCCAAGTGAAGGGGGGGGTATAAATCCAATCTCTTCTTCTTCTTCTTCTTTTTGTCTGCGTCTTAATGAGTTTTGTTTTGGGCATTTCCCCCCCTCCACCCCGGGATCATGTGTCACCCTCTAGATTGTTCGATTCTGTCTTGATTTTCTTTTCTTAAAAAAACTTAATTAAGGTTGGAATTTGCTGAACTTCAATTTTGCATGCAGCCGTATCACAGAGGCTTTAAGAGAGCTTTATAATTTCTTCCCTCTTGGCTTGCGCGTCCTCCTCTCCCCCTCCACCCACCCCCATTCTTTTCTACAGAGTGATTATTTTTTCAAATAGCAATCTAGGCAAATTCCAAGCAGTATCATCTTGTCTGTTTGTCAGCGTGGTGTGGGTTAAGAGCAGCAGACTCTAATCTGGATCAGGCTAGCGTGGGCCATTCAGCTCAGGGCACATGTGGGGTCAAGCAAAAGCCACGGCTAGACCCATAAGCTGCTTCTCCTGGTTCTTCCCTCATGCTGGCCGAACTCCAGAGCTCACTGATCAATAGAGAACAGCTTTCCTGCAGTGTGGGACCTACAGTATGGGTCCATCCTACAGTGTGGGTCCATCCTAGTTTCAGATGGTAGCTGTGTTGGTCTGCAGTGGAACAGCTGGATTTGAGACCGGAAGCACCTTCGAGAATGTCTCCCTCCTTCCCCCAGGCTGAATGGGGACACAGGATTCTCATCTCACAACAGATGCTAATTTTCTGCCCCCGAGCATTTCCCCTCTGCTGTAATCAGGCTGATTACTATGTGCATCGTATGTTTGCCTCCTTCTATGCAACACCCCTTCTGAGTGGGAGAGAAGTGGTCAGAAATCTCCATTCCAACTCATATCTGAAAATCTTGTGGGTCTCTAATGTGCTAGCTCTTTTGCAGAAGGGGTGTGTGTGTGTGTTTCTAGCCAGTGTTCCCTCTAAGCCATGCATGTGAGCAGCCGCTCATTAACACAGAGGAAGCCTCGCTCAGCAGCAGTCCAGGAGCCATGCAGGGCCTGGCACTGCCCAGTGCCCGTTTTAAGATTACAGCAGTTCTGTTCTGCTCAGGTTGTGAACTGCTCTGCTCAGGAGGGGCAGGGGGGATTAGAGGGAACATTGGTTCTGTTGTATTTTCTTCCCATTTTATCCTAGGATGAGTAGCCTGCAGAGTTTCTGTGCTGCTCCTTTAACTTTTTCCACCCTCCTCTCCTTCAGGGAGAAGTCAAAGAAGCTGGCTGAACAAGCAGCCGCCATTGCCTGCCTAAGGACCCTCGGCTTGCCAGAGGGGAAGCAGAGTGATGAAGCCGGTCTCCTCGTGAACAAACGCAAGAGGCCTGATCCAGAACCTTTGCGCAATGGAGAGCACAGAGACGAGCTTGTGGTGGAGACTGCTTGTAAGAAGCCTCATTTTGTTCCCGAGGCTTCAGACTCCAGTGTTTCCTAGGCGCCATTGCAGCATGAACACGGACGTTGCCCAGCTCCGCAGCCGTGGATTCCTCTTCTCCCCCACCCCATCCCCTTTAATAATCTCCTATTTCTCCTGGATGCTGTTGATCAGAACTGATTGATCTGGATTTGGAAACCACCCATCCATGTACGACACCATTGGCATCCCACTGCTTGCTTCTGGTGCCTTTGAACGGGGACAAATGGGCAACTCTTGGTTTTGTGGGGGGTAAGAGTAGTTCAATATTGAAATCCTCTTTACGGCAGAAGATGGATTTGGACGAGCCCGGACGATTGTGCAGGACTGTTTAACAGCCATGGTTCAGTTGCAGACTATAGCAATGATCCAGATACGGATTTGTGACCAGGGAAGGACGGGACAGTGTGGAACGCAAATTGCTAGACCTGTTTTTTTTGTGTGTCTTAATTTTACAGAATGTATGTTTTTTTAAAAAACGATATGGACCACATGGGCAGTATATGCCTTCTCATTGTGGTCTTTGCTCTGTGGCTACTAATTAAAAAAGCATTACATCTTGTCCCCGAAATGATTGTTCTCTGTTCTAACTGCGTGTACGTTTCTTTCACTCTGCAGTGTGCTAGGGCAAAATAAGAGAAGAGAGGAGAAGAGGAAGACAAAAACTCTCCTCCTGATGTCTGCCTGCATTTCCCACCAAGCGTGGTGGCAGCGTTAAACACCTTCCTGAAAGCCCGCAGGTGGCTTTAATCAGCTGTAACCAGAACCACACCGATGGGATCCGAGGCAGACAGATGGATTTGGCAGCGGAGATTTGGCAAGCGGCCGCGGAGCGGTGTGTAATGGCAGTGGCAGGCGAGGTGGCGAGCAGAAGTAAATAAAGACGTAACATCGAGCGGTGGACCAGCGGCAGAGGCGGAGCCAGGAAGCGCAAAGACCCAGCGGCGCAGGCGCAGCGGAGCCTGAGGGACGGAGACGGAGCCGCGCTGCGGTCGGCGCGACAAATAGCCCGTCGACTCCAGAAGACCACCGAGAAGTCTGAAGAAAAGAGTGGATGGAGAGGCTGAGCTGAAGCCGGGAGCCGAGCCGAGACAAGCTGAGGAAATACTAACTGAACCCCACTGAGTGCTGGTAGGCAATCCCACCCCAATGATGTATGTGCCCATAGTTAGGGATAATAAACTATGTAAGCCGCTCAGAGACCCCGTGGGAGGGGTTCGAGCGGAATATAAGCTGAATGTAAATAAATAACTGGCCCCATAAAAACCAAAGGCCCAGTAGCACTTGAAAGATGAACAATATTCATTTCCAGATGAGCTTTTGTGAGTCTTGGCTCACTTCAGATAGGTAGAGATTAAATTTATGGGGAAGATTACTGTGGGGGAGCAGCTCATTATGAAAATACTCGACATTCGTCTTTAAGGTGCCCCTGGACCCGGAAAAGGGAGATTTGACTCCAAAGCTTGTCTCTTGAAAATCTTATGGTATCTAAGGCACTACTGGATTGAATCTAGCTCCTGGACTTCTGTTTTCTTGCGCTACAACAGCGTTAATATCACTACTCCTTTGCGGTGGCCCAAGGTTTCCCCAGGAAGCTTCTGGCACAGTGGGGATTTGAGCCTGGGTCTCTCAGGTTGTAGTTGGATACTCTAACCACTGCACCACAGTGCCTTGCATCTTGAGCTGTCAGCCCCCTTTGGAATATTGCGGCAAACGTCCAGATTGGAATGGCAAGTCCTCCGCTCTAACAAAAACTCAACTGTGTGGAATGACCAGCTCCTCTTTCAGCTGAACAGGAAGACATTTCTAAACTGATAAA